CAGATCGTCCAAATCACAAGTGATAAAATTCAACTCATCTAACAGCGAATTCGCACTGCTCAGAGTCACCAGAAAAGCTATGCAGATACACGAAGACGGGAATTGGAATTCCAAGTAGGAGATTATGTTTTCCTAAAGATCTCACCAACAAGAGGAGTTATCCAATTTGGAGAGCAAGAAAAGTTAACCCACGTTATATCGGGCCATTCGAGATACCAAAAAGGATTGGCCTTGTGGCATATCACCTTGCCCTGCTACCTAAACTGTCCAATGTCCACAATGTGTTTCACGTTTCGATGCTTTGACGGTATCTTCGAGATCCAAAGCATATTGATGATTATGAGAACCTCTGGAAGTTCAAGAGGATCTCTCTTATGAAGAGCAACCAGTACAGATTCTCGATCGTCATGATCAAGTTCTCCGGAACAAGACTATACCTCTTGTAAAAGTCTTGTGGAGAAATCATCGAATCGAAGAAGCGACTTGGGAAACTGAAAGTCAAATGTGGGCCAAATACCCACACCTCTTCGAAAACCAAGGTACGTTAAGTTTGGGGACAAACTTTTATTTAGGAGGGGACAAATGTGACACCCTGAATGTTTAATTAAATACCACATAAATATTTATAACTATATATAATTGTGGTTATAAGTGATAATATATTATTAAATAAATAAATAAATAACTAAATATATAAATAAATAAGTAAATAAATAAATAGTATATAATTATTTGAAGAATTAGACCAAATAAAATGACACCAAAAGTTAAGTAAATAAATATAAAAGTAATAATCATAATAATAAGAAGAAGATGCTTTTCCAATCAAGAGAGCAAATATGTGAGTTAATTAGGATGGAATGTGGCATTTGTGGGTTAAGCCACCTGTACAGAATATATACTTTTGGATCTATTCATCATTATGAAGATACTCACCAGATGGTGAGTCATCACAGGGGCCTTGTGTATAGAAAATCAAGGGAGGTACTGCAAAGAGAGGAGTCTCGAAAAGATATGAAAAATAAGAAAAAAATAAGAGGAAATAATCTTGAGGTGAGTTACATTATACCTTGAGTCACCATAATATATTTTACGTATGTTTTGAGTTACCATAATTTATTTTACGCAATTTGTGTTTTATAATTTATATTTATATTTCAATTACGTTAATTATTTTTTGAACTCCATTTGCTTATATTGAAACCCATGGATATATTTGTTTAAATTTTAAAAATTATTTGACAATGATTTTGTAAATAATTATTTTCTGTAAGTACCACCATAGGAGTCCCATGCCTTAAGAGACTTAAATAACGATTGGCCTCTGTTTGGCCACTTTGCGGTCCTCTGTTTGTTATTAATCCATTGACCTTTGTCCTGAGTGGCACTCTAGTGACCTCTGTTCTATTATGTTATATACCGTAGTTATAGTTATTTATTTACATAATTTTTGTATTTTAATTTCTGCCACTTTAAATAATTTGTTTATTCAAATTAAATTATTCTAACTAACTTCATGGTTATTTTGTTGGGAAATTTGGCTATAAACCCCCCTTATCTTCCTTTTATTGTTAAAAAGACTAAGAAAAAAATTATACTTTTAAAACTCCCTCATAATTATAAAGTCTTATATAAAGGACAAAATTTATTATTTAAATATTTTATCAGACTATTATATCCTCAATTAAATCTTTCCTAATCACAATCTCAATCTCTCAAGCTTCGTCTGATACAACTATTGCATATACATAGATGATGACTCCATGGCTAGGGTTTCAAAGGAGATCTGGTCGGAGTGACCAGATCTGGTAGCAAATGCCTCCATAGAAACAATAAGAAGATCAAAATAGCAAAAGTTCATCCTCAATCAATGGCTTCGTTGTTTGCACCTAAGGAATAAGCTCTTTGTCTCAAGATCTGAGTGACACCCTGAATGTTTAATTAAATACCACATAAATATTTATAACTATATATAATTGTAGTTATAAGTGATAATATATTATTAAATAAATAAATAAATATATAAATATATAAATAAATAGTATATAATTATTTGAAGAATTAGACCAAATAAAATGGCACCAAAAGTTAAGTAAATAAATATAAAAGTAATAACCATAATAATAAGAAGAAGATGCTTTTCCAATCATGATAGCAAATATGTGAGTTAATTAGGATGGAATGTGGCATTTGTGGGTTAAGCCACCTGTACAGAATATATACTTTTGGATCTATTCATCATTATGAAGATACTCACCAGATGGTGAGTCATCACGGGGGCCTTGTGTATAGAAAATCAAGGGAGGTACTGCAAAGAGAGGAGTCTCGAAAAGATATGAAAAATAAGAAGAAAATAAGAGGAAATAATCTTGAGGTGAGTTATATTATACCTTGAGTCACCATAATATATTTTACGTATGTTTTGAGTTACCATAATTTATTTTACGCAATTTGTGTTTTATAACTTATATTTATATTTCAATTACGTTAATTATTTTTTGAACCCCATTTGTTTATATTGAAACCCATAGATATGTTTGTTTAAATTTTAAAAATTATTTGATAATGATTTTGCAAAATAATTATTTTCTGTAAGTACCACCACGGGAGTCTCACGCCTTAAGAGATTTAAATAACGATTGGCCTCTGTTTGGCCACTTTGTGATCCTCTGTTTGTTATGAATCCATTGACCTCTGTCTTGAGTGGCACTCTAGTGACCTCTGTTCTATTATGTTATATACCGTAGTTATGGTTATTTATTTACATAATTTTTGTATTTTAATTTCTGCCAATTTAAATAATTTGTTTATTCAAATTAAATTATTCTAACTAACTTCCATGGTTATTTTGTTCCCTATACTCTTGGCATAATATTTCTCACTCTGTTGTGTGCTTATAGCCGTTACCCTTTCAGGTGACGAGGTGTAAGGAGGACCCGTAACCTCATGTAGTGGAATCTGTACAAGAATGTGATACTGATCTGTTATTTTGTTTTTCTTTCCTTTTCTTCCTTTTGTTTTTTTGTTTTCTTTACTGAGAGCTAGTCACTGAATAATAAAATAATAAAAACCCTATAGATGTATTTTCTTTTATCAAAATTGTAGAATGAAGTTAATTTTCTGTTCCATTATTTTCTTTCCACAACTCTGTCTGCGCCTGCGCTTGCGGCATTTAATTTGTTAAGATTAAAATTAATTAGTAAGTTGTGATTCCAATCCTACGTCTTTAGGGTTGAATCTTGACATTATGTGTTAGATATACTAGTACCCCACTCCATCCATTGGAAATCTTAGTTCACACTCTTTGTTATTCGGTAAAAGATGTCTCTTCTTTGTGTTTGTTACGGTTCTTTCTCCATGAGTATCATAATTGGATTAATCTTATTACTCTACAGAGATCTAGTTTTTTAAGAAAAAGATATCAAAGTTTATTCTTGTTTCTAACCACATGCTTCATTGCTTGTGCAGGCCCTATCAATTGTTTTGAGTTTTATTCTTGCAAATGTATTCCTCATGCGAGACACTTGAAGCGTTAGCTACAACACTGCACGGGTTGATATGCATAGCGCCTAGTGTTGATAGGAGTAAATGACACTCGCTGCCTTGAGTTTGGAAAAATATATATTAATCTCATGAGTTTTGCATAGGTACATTGTGTTTTTCTATGATTTTTATTTACATAAAACCTAATCACATTTTTATTAATAATTCATTTGTCGTATAAATAAAAAAAATAATTAAACTTCGTTTAGCATTAGTTACGGCAGTCAACTTTTTTGTGTTGAGACTTTTTTAGTTTCGTTTAGTTTTTATTTTTGTGCTTTTTTGACTTTTGTGAGAAAAAAATATAATAATTATGATTTGAATGAAACATTTTGTTTTATTAGCTTATATTTCCTATTTTGTCTTTTTGTACTTTTGTAGCCCCAAAATGAAAACCAAATGAGGACTTAGCATGTTTGGTTTGAATTTTTAGGATTCACTTTTCAAAAAAATAAAATTTTTTATTTTTCGTATTTTTTATTTTTACTGATTTTTTTTAAAGTAATTTTTTAATTTTTAGATACACTTAACATAAATATACTTAAAAAGTATAATATTTGTGAAAAAATCTTTAGAAAATTACTAAATATCAAAAATACAAAAAAAAAAGAGAATTCAGTACATTTTTTGTATTCTTGTGTATTTATTGATTTTTTAAAACATTTTTTACAAATATTTTACTTTTTCGATAAATCTAAGTAACATACATCTAAAAAAGTAAAAAAAAATTGCTTAAAATTTTAAAAATATTCTTTAAAAACAAAAAAAAAAATTAAAAAAAAAATCACTTTCTAAAAAATTGAATCCGAAAATTGAAATCCAACACACTGAATTATATTATATCTTTTTCATTGAAATGTATTTTTTTTAATCATTGATTATCTTTATGTTTAGACCTCGTTTAGGAACATGCTATTTTAGTAATTTTTTAACTTTTTAGCTAAAATATGAGGTGAAAAAACTTGTATGTTTGGAATAATTTTTTAATTTTTTATGAAAAGATGTGCAAAAAATAGAGAGAAAATAGAATCTTTGATTTTTTGGTATAAGTTATAGGCTTTTTGATTTTTTTAATAGTTTTTTGACTTTTAGACTAAGACTATTACTTTTCAAACGAGGCCTACTTTAGTCTCATTAAATGAGATATTAATATAAAATTTTTATTAATATATACCTTTAAGAGGCATGTTAAAAAATTAATAAAATTAAACATGTGCATAAAAGTGAGTACTATAGTGAATGTATATTGTCTTTAAATACGTTTAAAGATACACATTAACAAGACTCTCAATGTAAAGAGCTTAACATGTAATTGGGCACATATTAACAAGATTCTTAATATAATTATATCAAAGTTCAGTAGTGGTTCACCATTTTTTCAGCGAAAATGTTTTGTAGCTTGAAACATCTTTCCCCCGAATCGCTCGAATTTCTGAAACGACGTCGTTTTCATTTTGAATTTTTTTTTTTTTTCTTTCCCTTCCACTTCTCATCAGACTCCAAAACCACTACTTACTCTCTCCTCGAGCCCTTAATCTCTTCCAAATCCTCTCATCTCTCTCTGCTCACTCTCTCCTTGAGCCCTTAATCACTTCCAAATCCTCTCATCTCTCTCTGCTCACTCTCTCCTTGAGCCCTTAATCACTTCCAAATCCTCTCATCAGCTACGAGTGTGGACTCACATAGCAGATCTTCTACGGGTGTGGACTCGCATACGGCGGTGTCGAGTAGCAGTCTAGAAAACGGTACAGCAACAAAAGGTAAACCCATAATCGCAAAAAACTAGGGTTTGTGTTTCTATGTTTGGATTTTTCTTGCAATTTGTGTTAGGGTTTTGGTTTTGGCTTGAATTTGTAGAACATGTTTTCCGGCCTTATCAATTAATGATTGTTAGGGTTATGATTGTTTGTTAGGGCTTGGGCATTATAGGTTTTGCCTTCAATTTTGGAAATCTAGAAAGTTCATGATTCATTTTGTTTTTGATTTACTCACTTTAGTTTGGAATTTTAGTGTTTTGTATGAAAATAAAATCTGAGGTATTTTAATCTCCTAAAAATTTTTTGTCATCAAAATTCAGTGTATAGAGTGAATTTATATCCTCTTAAATATGGTAGATAAAACTAGATGTTGAGGGTTCTTGTTTACGGCCACTACTTTTTTAAGCATGGCCGTTAAAATCATGTTGACACTAGCTAAGGCTACCGCAAGAGATAGAGGACTTAAATGCAAACCCTTAAGTCAAGAACCTACTAATTGTGAAGCCTCATCTGAAAAGGTAACTGTGGGGGTTTTTTTCTCTTAATCTAGATAACCGGAATCTTTTCCCTTTTGGGCTAAAGTGAGTCAATCTTAGGCAAAAATGTAGTCACTTCATCTAGTCATCAGGACACTAAACCTATTTATGAATACCATGACTATTTAAATGATAAAGAGGTTCTTTATGCTTGTTTTCGTTATTCTAAAGTGATCATAAAACTTGAGCCAAATGTTAAGACTTCTCTTTTGGAAATTAATTTTCCTTGAACTCAACCTGATATGACAGTAGACAATTAAACTATGGACTGGAGTTTACTCCTCGTGAGTCAGTTAATCCTAAGCATTTGTGTAACATAAAGCTTCACTTAATCTTGCAGTTCATCCCCTTTTTAAGTTTGTTGATTCTACGTCTTTACTTGCTTCTCTTCTTACTATTACAAGTTCTCTTGTTGATACATTATAGCACAAACTCATGTTCTTTTTTGTACGATCGGGTATGTGTTTCTTCAGTTGAGGGTTCTTGTTTACTTTTGCTTACGAAGCTGGCTGTATATTTACCAATTAAAAAAGTATAGGGTTTTAATAACATTAATAAAACAGGAGGTATGTATGTATGTATCAACAATAGCAATAATAGCTAGGTATGTATCATGTCTGTGTTTTTCATTTTGTATGCAGATTACAAAATGGCTTCTTCCTCTAGTAACAATAGCAACATAAGATTGAAACCAAGATTGTGTGATTGTGGGAGAACAGCTGCCATACACATTGTCTGAACCAATCAGAATGGAATAAAGGGCATGTGTACTTTGTGTGTTCATCGAAATATGTAAGCAGTATGGAAATTTGTTCGGAAATTTATTAGCCTGATTTGATTAACTGATTGTCATGCATTGTAGATTAGTGAAGAACACTGCAATTACTTCAAGTTCGCAGATGATAATGATGACGACGTGATCTCCAATGCTACACCTCGTAAATCTATAAGAAGCGAAGAATTTAACGATCTAAGCACAAGGGTTTATGAGATGGATAATGAATTTCAGGAGCATGGTAGAAGGCTTCGAAGGGTGGAGAAGAAATTGAATGCGATGCTTTATGTCATTGTGTTTTGTATTGTTTTTTATTTTATAATGTAAATTACTGAGTTGATAGCTTTTGGGGAATTTGATGGATGTACTTATGGATTGAATGGACTTGATGCATTGTGGGTATGTGTTGTGCTTCATTCAATGTGTGTAATGAAAAACATGTTCTGTTTTCAATTATTTTTGATAGGTTGTGTCATTTGTTGATCTTTACTGCTGGAAATACTTTTTCAATGTAAACCTGTAATGGCCTTTGTGGTTTGATGTTAGGGCTGCATTCTCACATGGGAATTTACAGGAGTTCTATATAAACCATTTAAGTGTCCTCATCTTTAAGGCATTTTGTCCTGAAACTCTTTGAGAGCTAGAGTTTCTGTAAACTGCTCTTTGAGAGCTAGAGTTTCTGTAAACTGCTTTATGTGCAAATCATAGATTTTCTATAAATAAGATGCCTACAGTTAAGAAGGAAAATCATTGCCTCTGCTATTGGCATTTCATTAGCAACAGCAATGAATAACTTATGAAGATGAAAGTCCAATCCTATTACAAACATACTCATGTCACTAATGGATAACTTATGAGATGGATAACTTATGAAGATGAAAGTCTAATCCCATTACAAACAGCAATGAATAATGGATAACTTATGAAGATGAACATCAATGAATAATTACATAAATGATTTACAAACATACATTCTATATTAATCATCAAGTACAATCTTATAATTCCAAACTGTTACACTCTTGTTACTGGAAATATACATAATTTTTAGACAGCACACAGATGAACAGTTGCTACAGTCTTATACAGAAATATACAATCTTATACATTCTACATAGATGAAATTCAACTTCTATACTCTTGTCACTGGAAATTAGAGACAATTTCAAACTTTCACCACAAAATGTAATCGGTAGACAGCACACACAAAATGTAATCTTTAGACAGCACAAAATTTCAAACTTTCAAAATTTCAATCTTTAGACACACAATTTCAAACTTTCAGCACAAAATGTAATATTTAGACAGCACAAAATGTAATCTTTAGACAACACTAAATGATTTACAAACTTTCAGCACAGCCCAATCCCATCTTAGATAGCACACACAAAAAAGCTAACTTCCTTGTACATACTGACTGTACAACACATTGCAGAGGCAAAATATGAAGCTGTTGCTTAATAGAGCTTCATTCTGTTAAAAATATACAGAACCTGTTCAGAATCTATTCAGAATCAAATATAACCTGTTCAAAATATACAAAACTTAACAGAACTTGTTCAAATATAACCTGTTCAAAATATAATCTGTTCAGAATGTGTTGAAAACCTGTTCAGAATCAAAAGTATCTGTTCAAAATATACAGAACTTGACAGAACCTGTTCAAATATAACCTGTTCGAAATATAATCTGTTCAGAATGTGTTAAAAACTTGTTCAGAATAAAAAATGTCTGTTCAGAATGTGTTAAAAATCTGTTCAGAATCTGTTCAAATATAACCTCTTCAGAATCTGTTAAAAACCTATTTAGAATAAAAAAAGTAACTATCCCAAGTTTACAAACGAAAGTGATAAATACCATAGTACAAAACTAAAAAAAAAAAAATGGAGCGTTTAGATCCACATCCATATTCAAGTCCACAAAAGTTGAACCATCTATATTTGTCATTCCTGATTCACTCAAAGATAAGCTTCCAATTTTGTCCACCATTTGCAATGCGCTCTCTTGTGTCCCATCGATACAAGGAAAATAGTAGAATTGAGCTTCCGGCACCTTATGATACATAATAACAAAATATCATTAATAAGTTCAAACATTGAAATAAATACCATACAAAAACAATGTAGTGGACCATGAAACACCTACCCGATCGTACGAATTGTCTTCCATGCCATCCGCACAATCGAAATTCAACTTACGAGGTTCACATTGACCCATCTTATGACCCTATAGTAACACACATTGGTGAAAAAGTTTGACAAAAATAAATTCTAAAATTTACATATAAGTAGAAAATAAAAAATATACCTGGACTTTTGGTGCCTTTTTATTCTTTCCCTTTAACCGATTCACTATTTCGTCCACCTTGCTCACCTTCAGTTTCGTACATGGACGGCCTCTTCGGCGAGCAACCAAAGGACTAAGCACCTTGCGAGTAATACTAGAAGGTGGCACATTAGTGCTAGAAGGTGGGACAGTACTACTAGAATGTGGCACATTACTCGCACAACCAGATTCATCTTTTCTTACTCTTTCTTTGATTTCTCTCAACCCAAGTTGAATGGCTTTGTGTTTACCATCATCGTTGGAAGCAATTTCTATAATTTCATCCAATGTCTTGTTGTAGTTATCATGTACCTTTGCATTGAGGATAGCCCCGGATTTCGTGTATGTCGTTGGAATACATGCGTACCCTCTTTCTAAATCTTTTCTCCATCTCGGCATAATGTACTTATCTGGAACCTCATATGTGCACCTCTTAATGAGCACACTAAGGGAATGGGCACACATGATCCCCCTAAACTCAAACCACCAACACACACATTGCATTTCAAATTCAGTTGAATTAAAGTAAACAAGAAATTCAACTTTTTTCATTTTCTCACTCACAAGCACCGCTTCCTTGACATGATAAGTACAAATGGATCCCTCTTCCTTCACAAGAGTCTCATGACAATACAGTAGTCGCTCCAATTCTACTTGAACTTCTTTAAATTTCGCATTTGTGTAGGCTGCACGAAATTGCTTCTCAAACTCATACACCGTTAAACAATCATATAATTTGTTTCGAGATTTGAAGTCTGCTTTGGTTTCCTTCTCCACCTTACTTTTCAATGCATTGTCGTACTGTTCAACAAATTGCTTTAAAGTAGTCTTTGAGTTTACATAGCCATCAAAAAATGCATCCATGCTCTCACTTCACTGTGTAGTTGACATGCCAGCCCAAAATATATCTTTCACATAGGCAGGAATCCACCTATATTGCTCACCATATAATACCCCCAGCCACTCGTTGTCATGGAGGCTAAACTTTTCAATCATCGTTTTCCATTTCTCATCAAATTCATCTTTTCTGAAAGAATCATAGACTGCATTTTGTAAAGCGAATTTGATGGCTTCATATTGGGAATATCCTCTCAATTTCTCGCGAATTTTCTTCATTACAAGCCATAAACACCAACGATGTCGAGCCTGTGGGAAAACAATTTGAATGGCATTTTGCATAGCTCTGCACTGGTCAGTTATAATAGCTTTTGGAGGAGTGGCTGACATACAATTTAACCATTCTTTGAATAGCCAAACAAATGTGTCCGTGTTCTCATTAGATAATAGCCCACAACCAAACAAGATTGACTGTCCATGGCAATTAACTCCTACAAATGGAGCAAACGGCATATCATACTTGTTTGTGATATAGGTGGTGTCAAATGAGACAACATCCCCAAATGCTTTATAAGCTGCCCTACTCCTTGCATCCGCCCAAAACAAGTTTCGTATGCAACCATCTACATCAAAGTCAATGGCCGAATAGAAGTTTGAATTTTCTTGTTGCATTCTATGAAAACAAAATGCAACTGATTCTAGCATTTTCAATGTGGTTCCTTGCATCTCGTTCATCAAATGTTAATGCCTCATATCCCCCCGCTTCAACAACTATAGAATGAAAATTCCTAGACACCCCTATTCCTGTTTCATCGTTTATTTCTAATCTTCTCTTCATAGGAGTACAAATCCTCTTATTCATTGGAAAATGGCGTGAGTCGCTAGGAATTAAATCATGCGTATGCTCAAGCACAACTGCAGTTAACTTATATCTTTCATCCGGTTGTAAAGTCGCTCTTACCTTAGCTTTACAATCAATTTTTTGATGACAAAGATGGTTTAAGAGGCTTTACTTCTGATCTTTTTGTCCTGTTCTGCGCCCGAGTACATTCAATTCCAAAGTATTTCACCTTTCCATCTGCTCTAACATTCTATGTTCTGTAAGCTATAGCAAATCCAAGGTTTTTAGCATATTTTGCATAAAACTCGGGCACTTCTTACTTTGAGGTAAAACACATCCCTTTCTTAGGTTCTTCAGTTTCACCACTCTCATTTAATGAAGGATTGTTCTCTGCTTCCTCAACTTCCTCACCCCCACTCAATGTAGGATTGTTTGAATCAATATCCATTATGTGAAACACTCTACTGTAATTTGTATAAAATCAGCAGAATGAAATGCACAACAACTCATAAATAAGGTTAGAGACATCACAGATTCACAGATTCAGATTCAGTGATGTTAAACACCACTTAGATTCAAATTCAGACATCACAGATTCAAAGATTCACATATTCACATAAATAAGGTTAAAGTGGATGTTAAACACCACTTAGAGACATCACATATTCAGTGAGTACATCACAAGTTGAACCATCTATAGATTTAGACACATCACAGATTCAGTGAGTACATCACAAGTTGAAAACACACATATACATCACACATAGCAGAATAATTATATAGCTATACATCACACACATAGCAATTTTACTTTGAGTATTGCGAAGTGTTGTGCATAGAAGTCTAGAAAACATAACTGATGAAAAAATTGGAAATTCCATTCAAGATAAGTGAGCCAAGCTATACAACAAATATGGTCTGCATTCCTTAATATGGTCTTCTAATCCCCTGTCAAACATAGACCCCAAATATAGATTTCACTTCAACAAGATCAAACATAGACCCCCAAACATATTTTTTAATTGAAATCATCTACCCACATAGACCCAAACATGGATAACCATTCTTCTAATCACCCATATTCAGATTCAGGTGAGTAAAAACAAAAAAAATTATAAATTGAAGGACCAGATTCAGATTTAGGTGAAGTGAATTATTGACAGAGTGGTATTTCGCACCAAATTGACGGACCAGATCAAATTCAGATTCAGGTGAGTAACCATTCTTCTAACAAAAAAATATAAATTTATAAGAAGAAAAAAAACAAAAAAACACACCAGCAGATTCAGGTGATTAAGCAACATTAACAGATTGACGGACCAGCAGATTCAGGTGAGTACAATGCGTAATCCAGATTCACGTCGAAGTGGTATTTCGTTGGTCGACAAACAGCACTGACGGTGGGCAGAGTTTTTCGCTGGTCATCGATGGTCACCCAGGTCGGTAGTGTCAACACCGGTCAACCTCGGCGGTGGTCGCTCTCGCCTATTTTTCTTTAACTGGTTCCTCTCTCTCTCCTCTCCTCTCTTTTCTTCTATTTCTCGCGCGTGGTGTCACATGACCAATGTTGTTGCAACTGAGCCAAACATTCAAAACTCACCTTTTCAAAACTCACTTTTTTCAAATTCGGGCGATTCAGGGAAACTTTTTTCGAGCTACATAGCGGTTCTGTTTTTTCAGATCTTAGATTAAGTATAAAAGTGAAGCCTTATTTTATTACGTCTTTGAAAATTTTAATCTTTTGACAATAATAATTTTTAAAGATTTTCTTACTGGCCTTAACTGACAGGCTAAATTGCCTAATGGATAAAGTACCTCTGCTAAAGTTGTGGAATTTATTATCTTTTTTAAAACTTCATAAGTAATCAGTGTAATTTACCTCATAATTGATTCGTGAGTATGCTGAAGGTGTTAAGTGAAAATATGAATTTATTAAATTTGAAGGTAGTAAGATTAACCAATAGAGCTCCCTTGGTTACAAACTCCTATATCATTAGGAAATTAATAGTTTAAATATTTCAACTTTCGTGCTTGTCTTTAAGTTCATACGAAATTCAAATCAAATATAAATATATAAAGTGTACATTGTGTATCATTTATAATATAATGTATATGTATATGTATTAGTGATAGGTGCAAAAAAATGTAATTTTATTTTAATATATATTATTGACAATTTAATGAATAAAAAAATTGAGTTAAATTTTAAAATTATTATTGGAACAACTAGCAACACATTCTTTAAAAAGAAAAAAAAAAAAGTAACAAAGCTTCAAAATTATTATGAATTGTGTGTTTATGAATATATAAATGTATAGTCCTTAGGTACAGATGTGTGCACCATATAATTAATGCATTGAATCTAAATTTCTTGTTTGATCAGGTCATACTAAGATCCAAACAATATGCATAAACAACATAAATGAATAATTCAGTTTATTGTTTTCTGTTTGTCCTTTGCCTCATTGAGCATAAATTAAAGAACAAATTACACAAATCTTCCCTGATAATTGACATAAATACAGTAAGATCTATTATTATAGAATAATTACACAGTGTTCTATTCATTATACAATTGCATAACAATTTCACCCACATGGTTAAGTCACCATTAACCATAACATTAGAAAAAATATATATGTAGGGCAAATTATACCAATATCTCCTCATTTATTAGTAAATATTAACTTACCTTTTTAAACATATATATCTAATTGACTTGATTTCTAGTATGCATGATCTCTTCGAAAAACTCTACAAAATGAACAATTTAAATTATCGAGACAGATTCGAAATGAGCTTACAGTGGGCCGAGCTAGACAGTGTAGTTGAATATCCCAACTGGAAAGAATTTAACCTTTTTTTTACCATATTTAAACCACCTTCAAAATGGAACATTTGTAAGAATTTTTATAATTGATCAATTGGTATGTATGATTTCATAGATGGGGTAACATGATATTCGTCGATAGTTAAGGCATTTTACTGATGTTTCGTTGGAGTTTGCTTTTCTCGTTTGGAAAGATCTAATTTAACTTGACCTTTTGGCTAAGACTGACTGAAATGATTATAATTTAAATGTGATATTTTACTTTATTGATTAAATTAACTTATTTTGTCTTTTGGTACTTATTTAGTCATTTTAGTCCTTTCCAAACAAGTAGATTTTTTGTTGGCTTATTTTCGTCATCAGTGATTTTTTTAAAAAGTTTTAGGAGATTCTACTTAACGGGACTAATTAAAAAAGTTTTAGAAAATACAAAAAGAAGTAAAAAAATAGTGGATTTTTTAAGCTTATTCTGACTTTTTTTCCTTTAAATTTTTTTAAAATAATTACTTTTTTGATTTGCCTGTATAAGATTGATCGAAAAGTTTTTTTAAAAAAAAGTCACTAAAAATAAATTTAAAAAATTGGAAAAACAAAATGACTCATTTGAAAGATCCAAAACAGCTTAGTGTAATTAATCTCAAAATAAATTAAATTCTTATGTTACCCTTTGAAACACTATTCCAATTTCCAAACAAAAAGGTGACAATTAGCTCACAATGACATGATAAGAGAATTAGATCTTACATGATTATGTTTTGTCACAAATTAAAAGTTAACACATAACATTTTATATCATTCTGGATCAAATTCTGAGTTTCAATCTTTTTCCCAACTATGCTTCCTCGTCTAGTGTGTTATGTAATGTATACGCCACGTGAATGAGATGATGTGGTATCACCCTTCAACTCATTAATTGACATTTAGTATATTAAAAAAAAAGGACCGAAATTTGATGCCATCAAACACTCAACACTTTAGACTAAGCAAAAAGTGACTTCTCGAGTCTCATTTTAATCACATGTGAATTAATGAGTGAAAGGATACACTATGTTATTTCGGCCACTTGACGTACTGGTTACTATATGCCAAGCACACAAACTAGAAGCTATGTTAGTTATGGCAATTAACAAGGCCGGCTCTAAGGTTTATGAGACTTAAGGCGAACTATGAAAATGGGACCCTTTTATATATACATTTTTTAATAAAAAATTTATATGTAAAATGTTAAGTATCAACAAGTTTTTTTTATTTAAGTTTACTTGCACATATAATTATTAAAATTATAAACTAAAATTTTCTTACATATATTAAAGGGCAAATTACATATACCCCCTCGAGGTTTGGCTAAATTACAAATATCCCCTGAGATTTGAGAAATTACAAATTCCCCCCTGAATGCTATATTTGCATAAGAAATTAGGGGGTAATTTGTTATGAAATATAAACCTCAGGGGGCAAATTGTTATGAAAATACAAACCTCAGGGGGCGGGATGTAATTTCCAAAACCTCAGGGGGTATCTGTAATTTAGCCAAACCTCGAGGGGTGTATATGTAACTTGCCCTTTTTTTAAAAAAAAAATTGACTAAAAATTTTTACTTCTAGAGCTTCCTCTCATAAGGAGGAATCTCATTGAAAGTTTGAGTAGATTATGAAAGTTTATTGCTATTTATACTAAAAGATTTTTCAAAAAGAATCTACAAAATTCTATGTGGGATTCAATCAAATTATTTGAATCATATTGACTGGAGGGAGAGTTGAAAATTTTATTTCCCTCCAAAATTAAATCTAGCATTCAATCAATTTTGTTTGGAATGAATATTAAAAAAAATTAATTTTTTTAAAATAAGTGACTTTTTCTTATCAGTTATGATTTTATTAAATATTATTAATAAATACTATGCAACAATTTTTATTTGTATTTGAGTATTTATATATTTTTTTATTTATTTATAATTTATAATTATATTTTTTTAATTATATAATATTAATTATGACATCACAATTCAACATTTGCTTTGACTCAACAGTTTAACCGATGACCTGTCTACCCGGTTCCTTTTTTGGCACGCTCACCGATCTGATTTTCAAAGCATTAACAGTCAATTATTAATGAATATTTGCCGTTCAAAAAAAATTATTAATGAATAATTAATTGTCAAATGCATAGATTGTTATAGAACATTGTCCATACCTCTAGAGAAATAAACTTTTCAATGTTAAGACTTTTGAAAGATTAATAAGATTAGTTATGCTATCTATTAAAAAAAAATGATAAAGAAGTTAGATTATGCAAGTTTAAATAGTAATTTTACAATTAAAAATACAAAAAAGAGTAATATTTAAGTGATATTTTGCTATAGTTGGTTTAATTTTTCTTTTGGTATTATAGTTTTAAAATTTCCTGGTGTTTTTGTTTTATTGCTTGTAAATTGGATTTAGTCAAACTATAAAGCAAATAATTAGAATTTTTTGTTGTTGTTGTTGTTGTAAAGTAACAAGATCATATTTTTGTCTTCTCTTTGAGTTTTTATAATGATTTATTCATACTTATGGATACTATCCAATTTATTGATAAATTTTATTTGTTTTTAATATGTATGAGGCCTTTCAATCTTTCTCCTTCCAAATATACATTAATCTGTATTGATTAAGCGTTGTTTTTTTATGTATGAGGGCCTCATGTTTGAAGTTTGTTGTAACAATCCCGACCCGTGATTAACTATTAATCCATAATTATACGTGTACGGGGAGCAAATATTCCGGCAAGCCCGTACTCCTTTATTCCGAGCTCCATTTCTGTCCGATCACTTGCGAGCAAGTAACGGTGAGCTACCCGGCGGTGTGTGGCCGGAAAACCCCTCCGACGGTCAAGTTAGCACACACCTTAGGATAAAGAGAGAGAGAGAAGAGTGTTGGAGTGTAGGAATTCCTTACAGAATGTACGTCCTTTTTGTATGGGGGGCGCAGACATGCTTATATACCCTCTGCGCCCCATATCCACTCCCAGTCATCTCCTGACACGTGGCTCCGCTATCCCATCTGTCAGCATAAACCTTGCTGAACATCACCTAATCTCAACTGCCTGCCTTCTCAGTTGGAGCTCGGCAGCCGAGCTTCTCTATCCACGGTCGTGCTATGCTTCATACCCAAGCACTTCACTGGCTAAGCCCAAGGAGGACTGGGCTAGGCGGCATCTCGGCAAAGCCTAGCCCAGGGCACCTCTTGTGGTTGGCCTTCCTGCCGATCAAACGATTACCTTAGCTAACCATGCCTTTCCGGGCGCCGGTCACTCAGCTTGACTGGCTCCACCATCGCCTGATCAAGCAGCTTGTTCCAACCGAGCACTGCCTTGCCGAGCAGCTTCTTTACGGTCTGGGGCGACACATACTTGGTCCAACTCCTGCCCGGCCCAAATCCTGGCAGCCCGTCTCCGGGCGGATCGCCGGTCATCTCGGCCCCATGCACCATTAGGCTCTCAACCTGCTCGGCCATTGCCTCGGCCCAATTCCAGATCATAAATCTCTCTCTTAGTCTATTAGAGCATTTAATAATTTCTCCTATTAGAGTTTGGGTTTTGCTGATTGAGTCTGTGTTTTTAGCTAAAAAGTAAGTTTAGGACATCTATTAGAAATGTTCTTTCAACGCCAATATATAGGTGCTTCTATTTACATTCAATAAATTTCTTGTTACACTCATATTGTACATTGTAACAATTTACTTTATGAAAAAATTTGAGAATTAGGCAATGGGAAAGTTTAGAATCCTAGAATTAGAGACTCAG